TCTTTCGGATTAGTATCTAATCTTCTGGGTAGTACTATCTTTCGCATTAGTATCTAATCTTCTGGGTAGTACTATCTTTCGGATTAGTATCTAATGATCTAGTTGTACTATCTTTCGCATATCTACTATGACATAATAATCTAATAGGAATATGATCTACTATAACTTACTTTGCACCTACGAACTTGACACGAAGAGTGGTGGGTCAACAAAGAATATCTACGTCGGTTTAAGAACTTACACTACTTTCCTACGTGGAGGGATCCCTCCGCGTTACAGATCCCTCCACATTACACTTACACTGAAAACTTGTAGTTGCAACTATTTAGCCCTTAAATTTGCAATGCGCAATTTTTCCGTTTTCATCTGTGTCAATAGTTCGACGCCGTGCCTCACGTGATTTGGAGCTAGTGCAACACTATTCCCTTGAGTAAGTAAGTAATGTGGGTGAATGGGTGAGTAAGGTAAGCGAGAAAGGCAAGTGAGTAAGGTAAGTGACTAGGGTAAGTGAGTAACGTAGGCGAGTATAAGGTAAGTGAGTAAGGTAAGGTAAGGTAAGGTAAGGTAAGGTAAGGTAAAGGAAAGGTAAGGTAAAGTAAAGGTAAAGGAAAGGTAAAGGAAAGGTAAAGGAAAGGTAAGGCAAGGAAAGGTAAGTGAGTAGGCTAAGTGAGTGAGTGGCTTCCTTTCCCCTTGAAGGCTCATCTCCCCTTTCGTTCCCCGCCTTCAAGATTCTTTCATTTCCCCTGCAAAATATGGATAGGAGAAACTACTTCTAGAGAAAAAAGGAAACTGTAAATGGATAACTACAACAATCAAATTCAAATACAACGAAGTGACAAATGTTATCCATGTTCAATTCAAAAACAAACTGGGTGTAAGTGACAAATTATCTACTACAGCATCCAAAAATCAAGGGCATAAAAATTGTCAGGAAGAAGATAATTTGTCTCTCACACCACTGTCAACATCAACACTCTCTCAGGAGGATTGATACCTCGCAACTACACTGGAAGTATTTCCCCTGTAACGACCTCCCAGTCAAGGTGGCACATCACTAAGAAAGGAAGATACCTCACCACATCACTAAGATCACCACATCCCCACGCGCGCACCAGGTAAAACAAAAACACCCACCCAGGTGGTATGTGAAAAGCTCACATTTATATTGCCTCATGGGATAAGCCTAAAAACTAACCGGTTGTTTTATTTAGTAGATATATAGAAGCCTTAAGAGATTCCAGGTCTTCTCAGGTACTAGGTGTGTTTCGCACTGCCCACTAACGAAGGGGAGAAAAGAGTTTCGCATCTTCATGAAATGCTGGTGATGAGTTATTTTCACATGAGATTTTTTCCCTTTTCTTGTGGTACTGGAAGAAGCTCCTTGTACAAAAGTAGAGCTGCTTGAAGGTGTGGCGACGTTCGCGCCAGCTACTTTTAGAGAAGTCCGCTCGTATTCATCTCGCTACCCTCATCTGGACCCCCCCTTTAGTCTACCCTTCTTGTAGTCATTCAGCCTAGGAACAATACGGGGAAACAAAACAGGTATCCAGAAGACGCTGAGCCAAGGATGGACACTAAATGTTGACCATAATACTTGATCCGCAGGCGAAGATGTAGTATTCGTCCACTGGTGCTCAGAGGTATACGAGTGCATAGTGGGTGCACTAGTAGATGAACCTTGCACGAAACTCGACTCGTCCGATTGCTCGCTGCCTTCTACAAACTCAATTTCCAGCCGACGATGAGTTGCAGCCGGAGCCGTGGCCTCCCGAGCTGCCTTGGTTCCCGCCTGGGTAGTGGGAAACTCTTGTACAGTACTCAAAGATCCGCGAGGAGTTTGCTGCTCCTGTTTCTGTTGAGGTGCTTCTGTTTTCCCGCCATTTTTTCCACTTATGGAAGCTGTTTTTTCTCCCCTCTAGGGGCAGACTCCACCTATGTAGAGGCAGAGCATTTTTTCCCTTAAGATCATCAGCCTGGCACTCATGATCATAAGCGGAAAAATGCTCTGCGCCAGGATGACGGGAGAAAAAGATGGGAGAAAAAACCGGATCCATAGCATTCGCGCTTCGTCCATTTGCTTTCGTCATTGGAGAAAAAACATCGTCCTCACCCCAATGAAACTTTCCGGCTTCCGGTTTAAATACGATGATATGCCCTTGCAAACTGTTTTCAAGCCTTCTTAACCCAAAATCCGGCGACGGACGGAAGAGAGAGTTTGGGCGCGTCGACCGTTCTTGTACAGCGTAGCACCACTTTGCTATACATTAGCGAAAAACCTAACAAATATTCTCTCAATACCATCGGTGGAGCCAGCCTAACTACGAAAAAACCAAAAAGCAGTGCTAGATGTATGCACTGATGATGTTGATCCCGTCACAAACCCAAAATCGCGCTCCTCGTGCATTCATATCATATCGTAGTAAAGATCAGTCCTTTTCTTTCTCTTTCTTCTAGCTCTCTCTCTCTATCATACATCAACATAAACAAAAGTAGTATGCCTCGTCTACATTTTTGATGTCATGTCACCATGTCAACAACATCATGGAGCCTACTAGCTCTTCGTGTCTAGATTGTTCTCGTCATTGATTCTCTTCGTTGTACATAAGTACATACTTCTAAAAGTTATCAAGTAGAAGTCATACCCTAAGGTATAGGAGAAGAAGCGATCCGACATGATAATTAGTGCTGACTTAAATATACAAGTATTAAATAGTTGATCACGACTCACGGCCTTAATTGTCGTCACTGTTGAGAAAGCCCGGCAGATCCTCTTCTTTACCAGGATTCACTTGCTTTCGTTCCCTTATACGATTAGAGCTACCGCGTTCGCATCTTTCTTGCGAGCATGATTCTTGGCTTCTTTTTCACGTAGAAAAAGAACCAGAGATGACTCTGAGGATGGTTCAGCGGTAGCCTTAATACGACGGAGCACATCAAAGAATTCCTTGGCTGTTTTCTTTATTAGAGCAGCAGGTACCTCCGAGGACACCTACCCATCAGCTACCAGCTTGGGAATTACGTATATCTTTTTTGCAATAAATAGCCTCTCGCATTTTGTGCATCTTTGGTAAGCAAAGAACCCTACTCATTGCACAAGAGAGACATAACTAAGCATTTCTTTTACAACTACAACAAACATCTGTGCTATCTGTACAGCTGAAATAAGAAGAGGGTGAATTATGGTCAGGTTAGGTTGTGGATCCTTCTACTCAACGAGCCCCACAGGCACATGCTCGCCTCCGAGGATGATGGGTGACCTAGGTAAGGTCAGCTAGAACAACCGAGGCGGTGACTTGAGTAGAAGATCTAGATCGATACAAATACAATATATTATATCCATAACTTTAGCTCCTGCAGATCATGCACTCTAACCCAGCGAGTCCGAAAATCTGTGTGCAAAAAGGTCTTTTTCTTAGAACCGTGGAGAAAAAAGTCAAAGGGTTAGGTTAGGTTGTGGATCCTGCACATTGAGACACATATCTCGAAACAGATCTTGTCATTTAGGCCTTAGAAGAACTTGTTCAAGAGATAGTGAGACTACACATCCAGTCTATAAGTTAGTGCTCACCCTTATCCATCGCAAGATTCATCTTAGACCTATTTTCCCCTTGTGGGACAGGTCTGCGATGCTTCAGAAGATGGATTAGGGGAAGCCTGAAATAAGCATGCAGACCTTAGATAGTCAACAATTCAAAACGACCCGTAACTCTTTCCCGTGCTACGTCGCTCCCTTGTTCTTCTGTAAGGACGGCGCGCTTTGGCTCGGCTTTCAAGCTTAGAGGTTACATGGATATGCTTAACGTAAGCTTAGACGTCTAAGTAACAAGACTATACGTAGTAGACGTAAGCTTACGCGTTCGTTTGATGGACATGCATATGCTCCTTGATGAAGATAGTATCTTAATTCATTCACGTGAAAAAAGGTTCCTTGATGTTACTTATTCTCCATCACAGGTCCCTTGACCTATTCAGTACAAAAGCTCTTCAAACAGGTTCAAAGATGTTACTTCTACTTGCTGGAGGATGTTGGTGTAATAAGATGAATAAGATGCAACTAGTACTGGGAATACAGTTCAACTGAAAATCTATCAATTACTTTAATACGTAGTCAAAAGCAGATCAAAGAGCACGTAACTTAATAGTGTTTCAGTGTCATCCGCTTCTAAAACTTCTCAGTAAAGGGCATTCTTGATTGCTTGTGCTAGTAATGCGGAAAAGTATAGAAGTCCACTACTAAAAATGCGGAATCTTCGGTATATTAGAAGGCGACTCACCAACAGACACGTGTGGTCTCATGCGGCATCGGCGGGTAATGCGGACATATATATTAGTAGACTAGTAGGTAAATTAACATTGCAGCCTTAGCCAGGTTTCTTGCTCTGTTTCAGATATCAGCCCCTCGCCCGCCTCCCTGAGGTCAAAAAAGTCCTCACTATATGGGTCATCTTCCTTCAGCAGGAAAGTCTGTCTGTACAACTCCCGGAAGTTTTCGTTTTCAGGCCCAATATACTTCGAGATATAGTCTGCGGGCGGGAATGCAATGCACAAATTTTTTTTCCGGAAGAAGGCAAATCTTTCAAATGCGACGCTCGACCATTTGACACTCACATTAGAGCAGGAGGACGACCTAGAGCTAGGCGCTGCTGTAGTCGGAACAGACCGTTAGGACGTAGAGGGGTCGGGTAGTACCATGATCAAAAAGGTGAGTGGTGAATCCTTACGTCCAACTATATTATTCCTAAGAAGCTCCTAGGAAGGTGGAACTGGAAACTAATTAGAAAAAGAGCTACTTGATGTCCCTGTCCTTATAGATACCTAGGACTTTTCGAAGCCTACATTTCTAGATAGTACTGTAAAGTTGATTGTACTTGGGGAAAAATTATGCTGGGTCGTGACCAAAGAATACTTGTTGTACTAGTGGAAATGAAATAGTATTTTGAGCGACAAGCGTAAGGTTAGGAAAATCAGGTGCATCGGGAAGGCTTCGCCTGAATGCCTTCATTTTTTCCGCTACTATGCTCCCACCCATTTTTTCGCCCATCTTTTTACGCAATATTTCAGTCAGATCTGCGGTAGTGCTTTTCGCATATTTTTCTGCCACTCTACCGATCCCGTCACGTTGCCCGTTCAGATAGTCTTTACGCGGGGCACCCAGCTCAGGATGTGCCATCTGTGGCGAGCCTGGAAGAAGCTCCACTGAAGAGAGCGCTACGGCATTCCGTTTGTTCTTCCCAAAACCAAGTTTCCTCTTGAAGTATTAGAGGTAGGTTTTTGGTGTTCGTTTATCCCGCTTTTTATGGCTGTCCCCCTTAGGAGAGCCATAACAAACGGTAACAAAAGCACCTTTAGCCTACCCATAAAAGTAATTCGACTTTGCTTTTCTCCTTGTTACTGTTTTTTTCGCATCCCTGTTCTTCGCGGAAGTAGAAACACCACCGCTGCCAAAATTATTGGAGGAGCGAGAGCCTGACTCTGTGGTGACGTGTGGCCTTACCAGCCTTCGCAGTTCATGTCGCCTCTGATACAGCATCGAATTATGCCAGGACACAAATATGCTTGCCTCCTCCGCTACATGCAAACTAAGGGCTTCCTTGTTATCCTCTTCGATGATGCGTTTGAGAATCGCGTCGTCATCGTCCGCAATGTTTAGAGGAGAAAGATAGATCCTTACCCTGCATTATGATCCGTCCACAGCAGAGGTGAAGCGAATATGTGCAACCGCAGAAGGACTACAACTACGACCGCCTGATTACTCAACTTCAACTACACGAAGATGAATGATTACATGATCTACAACTTATAAACTACTAATAGATACTACTACTTTAACTTACTTATGTTTATAGCGAACCAGTAGAACAATTGAATTTATCAAACGAAATATGAAAATATAACTTGTAAACTTAACCTGTTTTTAAGCAAATCCGCAAACGACTGTTCCTTGTTTGTCTGCTCTGCAGAGTTTTCTGTCGTTCTCCTTGCTTTCTCGATTCTCTGCATGTCAAACGCCGTCAAGGGAAAAGCATGCCCAGCGTTGGTAGGACCAAACAAAAATTAGAGCTCAAAACCCCTGAAGTAGTTTGTCCTCTCCGAGGCATTTGTCTCCCTTCCCACCAGGGGTCGAGAGCTTGATCAGGTATTCTGCGTCTCCTGCAGCTCCTGGTCGTATTTCGGAAATTCATTTCTTGTTCGGTTCACGTCCATTTCTTCAGGTGATTGATTCTCAAGAGGGAAAGAACAGAAGAAAACGGGGGCGTTGGGAATGAAGCGCAATGCAATGCAATAAATCTCTCACAAAGTCGTGTAGACTGCCTTAAAGGCGTCGTAGTTGTTCGGCACGGTGAAGACTCGTAACTTATTAAGTGCTTGTCGTTTAGTAAAACAAGAGTCCATAACCTAACATAACCTAACCATAACCTAACCTAACCCAGTCTAATTTTTTCTTCAGAGTCAATAGGAGTAAGGAAGAGAATCAATCATTTTGAACCTTAAAAAGAGAGGTCATCCGCAGATAATCGGCGCCCATCAGAGGCAAGGTAAGGATTCAAAGTCACGAAGGGCACAGGCTGTTGGGCAGGAAAGTCTTCACTTCGGTTTTCGAGTATTAGAGCTAGTACCCTCAAGCATCCAACGTGTGCACGAATTATCCCATCAAAATATTCGACCCAAGACCTGCACCTGGACCCCGGCAGTACAGCACGAAACCCTGGTGCCACTCACTGCCACCGCAGTACTTTAAGGGGTTCTCTCACGTGGAGAAGCTGGGTTCTTTGTAGCCTTAAGAGCGCGAGAGCTGCGTCGACGGCGGCTTCTGCCTGGCGCATCGTCCCTCCCGTTCCCCCTTCGGTGTTCGCACGCTCGCTGCGTGTGGAGCTGAGTGCAGATGTCAGCGCTTTCGTCGTTTTCGCTAATTTAGCTGCTACCTCGTCTGACTGTGCTTTAACAATCTCTCTGTATTAGAAGACGAGATCACTACTGGTAGCAGTGTGATGACAGAGGTAGTGGGAGTAGCAGTGTGTGCGTGTGTGTGTGTGTGTGTGTGATTAAAGAACGGCAAGTCATTGTGCTGGTTGTATCTTCAATGTGATGTTGACACAGAACGAAGTAGAGTCTGGAATCGTGGTGCCTTCTTCTGCAATGTATCAGAATGTGCTGGTACCTTCTTCTTTGCCAGATGCTCAACTAAATTAGACTGTATCATAATGAAACTTCTTGAACCTCAGCGTCGTCCTTCGCGAAGCCTCCACATCGCTGGTCCAGTACTTGTTTTTCCCTTCAGTGATCTTATGTGCCGATATTGCTCCAAGATTAGAGATCATCTTGGAGCTCACCATCATCCAATGGAGATCACCATCATCCTTATACTCTAACCTTAACTACTCTGTTATAGTCCCGCCCATCCTTATAACTACTGGTACTGACTCTGTAGTTATAGGCCCCTTTAGTAGTTATCTTGGTCACCTTATGCGGCGATGATGCCTGCCCCTTAGTTGCCTGATCCTTGGACACTCCTCCTGACCCCTTTTCCTATTGCAAATCGGAACTTAATACTAAGGGCGACTACATAAGTACTTGCTGAGGAGGAGGATGTTCTCTTGGTCACCTTAACAAAATGAAGAACCATGTCGCCAGCTTTTAAGTTTTAGAGGTATTGGGAATTCATCTCAGGGATCATCTGGGTCCCTTTTTCCTCTTGTCTTTCTCTTCCAGATGACTGTCGAGATGAATTCCCTACGCCCATAAAAGTTGGTGCCTGGTATGTCGTACCGCACCACGAGAACTTTGTGACATTTATCTAGCCTTCTCCCCGACCCAGGCACCACGCATCGACCTATTCTTTCTCGAGTTGTAGGCTTCTTTTAGAGCTCGAAGCAATTCATTTCTTTGGTAGTCTCTTTCTTCAGAATGCTCCTAAGAAGGAAGCAAAGAGAAATGGCCTCCACCTTTGGAAATGTGTTATAATTCTGAGCCGTATCTTTCTGCTCCACCTATATTTCCGTCCTTTGCACCGACCGAAGGAGTGCCACGATCTTCTGCATCTGGATCGTAGTCCTTGGCGTGGTCATCGGCTCCCTTTGTTAACGGTAGTTTTTCACTATCTCGAGTCGAGTGGGTGGCCCTCTTTGCCCCGTAGTTTCCCCTTCAAATCCAGGAGGAACCCACTCAACATAGTCCACATGGGATAGTGAAAATAAACTACCCTTAAGTTGATGACTCCTTCTTCGAATGTTTGATCGTCATGATTGTTGATAGGCTTGTCGAGTCCCAAACGCCTCAACATGCCTGGATAGCGATTCTCGACACCCTTATCGTTGAAGTAGTGCTCGGGAACGATGCTTTCTCGGAACAGCTTCATCAAATACCTCTCATCCTGCCACAGAGAAAAAGCGAAGAAGTTAGAAAAAGAGAACAACAACAACAACAACAACAACAGAGAAGAAGAGAGAAGAAGGGAATATCCGTTGGCTCTGCTGCAGAACAGCAAGAACAAGACGAGAGAAAAGATCATGGGTTCAGTTTGCTGAGAGAACAGAGCCGTAAAGAAAGCAGAAACATGCTCTAACTCGAATCGTCCAGTTGCACCCGGCCACGGATATAGACCACTTTCGACGTAATTTCCGAGCTGCTCCGCTTGAAGAGGCTCATTCCACTGGCCTCCTGCGACATTCAAATTTCGGAATACTGGAGGCGGAGGACGCGAAGGGAAGTTTAGCTTAAAATAGTTCGAAGAATATGAATGGTTAATAGTACTGGATCTGCCGTCGCTTCTTGGTCTGTCGTGGTTTCCTTCCTTGAAAATATATATTAACTTAGAGCACCATGACCGATCAACACCAGACGAGGGATCAAAATCCAGGTTATTTTCGAAGCATTCATAAAGAAAACCAACTCTGCGACAGCCTTTTGCTCACATTCGTAGACCAATTCTGCAAGGTGCTCAGTGCGAAGAGAGAGAGCAAGGCAATCGGCACACCAATCAACGGGTTCATTGCCACACCGATTGACGCCAGGAGGACTGTGATTCCGCTTATCAGCTGTCCCACCACCGCATCGAAGAAAATTAGAGCCCAACGCAATGAATTCACTCCTTCCCCTCAGCAGGAAACCGAAAAAAAGTTTAAGCTCAAGTCTTCCTTTCTGTTCTCTCTTCCTAAGGGATTTTGGGAGGAAGGAGAAGGCAAGCCAGCAGAGATCTGGCTTCGAACTAACCGTAATTACTCTCAGTTGTATTTAGGTAACAATTTCAAATTCTATTTTGAAATAAATAATAATAAAGTATAAGTAGTGGAGAGTGAATGAGAGAGTCAGAGGAGGGGAAACACGCAATGAATTCCCTTCTTCCCCTCCGCAGGAAACCGAAGAAAATGACCCTTGTAAAGCTGTGTCGAGCCTTAATAAAAGGCGCGTGGCGGCTTGCGATACTGTGCTCTCAGTGATTGCCCAAGCCAAAACGAGAGCTTTGCTATCCTTTACCCAGTTGTGCGTGCCCTCTCTTAAAGCTAGCGCGACATTGCATTCTCTCGAACATGATCCTAAGCACCTTGTTTTCCGCCTAAGAAACGCAAACAACAAGTCAAGGATGGTGTCCAGAATGCATTGTGGTAACGACACTTAACTCTAGTTCCGTATGTTGCGAATTGGCCCAACCGTAGGTATGACTCAGCTGCTCAACCTGGTGTTGGATCTGTCCAGGGCACTGTGTTTCGTGTAAAAGCTTCCGTAATATTAGAAGAAAACGAGGAAAATCAAGATGCCTAACTTTACAGGCGGCACGGAGGATTAGTAGTACTTAATAAGCTTGTAAGAAGATACTAATAATGCTATCATTTTTACATCATGCCCCAGAACAGCATAAAAACGCCTCCCTTGGGGGCCTTTTACCGTCTTCTGTACTAGAACATACTATGTATTATTAAGTACTTACTTAGGGTAAAAATAAAGAGCACTCATAAAAGGGGCCGCTCGTCCACTTCTCCACGCAACATCCTTTGTTCCAGACGCTCCTGTAATTAGCGCTCACTCTAATCCACCTCAAGAAGCATCCTGCGTGCCTCTTCCCCTTGAAAAGCGGGCTCTCTTCTCGGATGACTTCTTCTCTGAAGTAAATCGATCAATAGTGGACGAAGCCTTAATTTATGCGCGTATGAGTGTCTTTTGTCTCCGCTGCTTTGTGCAGCATGGACCCAGAAGCTGCTAAATTCGTTAGCTTGAGAAGCAAACGTGCTGCTTGGGGCAGCGTCCAAACTTAGACCACTAGAGCAGAAGAAAACTCTGAGAATCAGAAACAAATGGCTTGTAGAAAAAGAAATGACTTGTGAAGGAAAGTCTAACGTTATTAGGCTGGGTTAGGTTATGGATCCTGCGCATCAATATATTCAATTCAAGTCGGGGCTTCCCTGTTTCTCACCCCGGTCCTCAGTCCGGCTTTTTTTTTTTGAGTTAGGACTAGATGCTGCCTCCCTTTCAAACAATTATATAAATCGAGCATGAGTTTTTTAAATAAGTCACATACTGGGGGCGCATAAGACCGTACAATCGGCTCGAAAAAATAAAATGACACGTATTCTTTTAAGCTCCAGTCTTAACAAACCGTCGTCCTGGGAATTTCCCGGGACATTGCAGATCGGAGATATTTTGACCATATCGACTGCCCAATGGTACGCGTGTAGCCAACAATGCAGAGGGGCTGACGAAAGGCCAGCCTTCGTGCCGGATACGGATTTTTCATCGCGTTTTGGTCAATGTTAGAAAAGAAGAGATGGACGACTTTTCATCCTGGTGGTATATCTTATAGAAAAGAAGCTAGATGAGTTTGGTAATCCTTATACATAGAAAAGAAGCTAAAGCTTGCTAGTAGAAGTAGTAGAGCTACCGCAGTTTGTTCCATAGCAACATGAGCATCGACATCATTTTTTTTAGCATGTTGTCTTGTTCACAGGTTGTAGAAAAACAGGATTAGCTACCATGCATCGGCATGGAGATGGTGATGGTCGTGCAAAAGCTGCTAAGTAATGACTTTACAAGGACGATAATGAGCAGTGTTATATTCGGGACAAAAAACTTGCCTCGGAACGAGCTTCCAACAGGATCACTACTAGCTACCAAGGATGGCAAGGTGCGAAGATGAGTAAGAACAATAAACACTTATAAAAACGGGATTACTAGTAAACATGCTTCAGAGCCAGCAGCTATAGCCAGTTTATCATTAGCGACGAAGCAGCTGTGCCATTGCAATGATTGAAAGCGAAGAAGACCAAAATCTTTCCACTTTCTCAAGCAAAAGAGAAACAGCGAAGTTAGTAGTTGTAGATGTTTTGTACTAAGAAAGAATATGCAAGAATGTGAATGGTATCATGTCAAAGTAGAGAGCCAGAGAGCTCCTCCAATCTACAAGTGTGCCATAACGACTTTTCGTCGAAACATTCGGTTTCCGTTTTGGGAGTCTTTCTCTTGCTGCGCTGTCTTTGGCGCGAGGATGGGGGCTGCTATTGATGAAATTCCAAAATCAACACTCTGCGAAACTTCTTGATCGATGTAATCATTTTTGTTAGCAGTGCCGATATTCATCCTGAGGAGCGTCTTGGTAGCCATTTTCGTCCCTCTTCCAATCACCATACTAGGCCATCGGCGAGATCATGATACGTTTCCTGCGGTAATGAACTTCACGGCTCTGAGGATGAATATGAACATTATAATTTTGCCTCCTTAATTTTGGCTCCTATGGTTAGCACGTCGACATAAGAGGCTGGCATTAGATCATATCTTCTTGAGATCCCCGATCCATCTTCTTGAGATTCATCTTGATGAAGCAATTGCAATCTTGCCCCTTATGGAACTACTAGATTGGTCCCAAGATCATGCTGCTGGCGATGATCGATGGATTATGTTCTCGAGAAGGCAACATAACAGTGAAGATAGTGCCCCTTCGAGCTGCTGTTTCTCGTTATTGTCAGGCACAACAATCACGCCATGATCAATCTGGATATGCCAGGCACTCTTGTCCAACCCAGGTCTGTCATCGAGTGTGGATCCCACTGAGTTCATCAATTCCGCATTGATCCTGTTGCGCACGTAGAGTGCTAGGAAAGCCCGACCCAAAAGAGACGACCACTTCGTAGTATCAGAAGCAATAGAATCGGAGTGGTCCACTCCTTCACCAGATGAACCGCCAGCATTTCTTAGAGCTCCTGGCTGCGTTTTCCCTCCTTTGGAAGCTCCTCTCCCTTTCCTAGGAATTCTTTCTGCGTTTTCGCCTACTAACTTGAAAAGCCTCTCCCTTTCCTAGGCTTCCCTCTCCTTTTTCTAGGATTTACCATGCATCAGAATTGCCCCCCTTTGTGAAAATGGACCATATTAAGGCTGATCGAAAAACTGAAATAACCAAGAAGTACCCTAAACTGAATGAAAGTCTCAGATCATACTAGCATCAAAAGGGAATAGGACGGACGGTCGATTAGTACGGATCCGGCGGCCGATCTTATTTCTCTCTTCTTCTTAGCGCTACCGCTGTCGCATCCCTGAGAGCATCCTAGGCTTCAGGATAGGATAGGAGTTGATCCGCCGTCCACAGTTTTACCTGCCTTCTGTGTTCTTCTAGTTAAAACTAAGAAAGTAAACTATCTTAATTATAGTTTTATCCTTGGAAGCAGGTGCTTCATTTTCGAGTAGAAAAGGATGAACCAAGGATGCTGGTGCTGAGGGGATGCTCCAGCGGTAGCCCTAATCTTCGGACCAGTGTGAACGGTGGCGATGTATCCGTGATCTTCTGCACTCAGCTTCTTTATCAAGATTAGAGCAGCTAGTTGAGCCTCCGCGTAGGTGGCATCTACTTTGAGAGTAATATTTATTATGAGGTACTATGGAGAGTTGTCCTAGTTCTTGTCCCAGATTGATGTCCTCGGTCAAGATAAGTAGTATGTCCACCAAGTATGTCCACCTTGGAGGAGGCGGCATGATCTTTGAGAGTACTATGTTGTATACTAATTGTCAGGCTGATCTGGCAAAAACAAGTTGACGCTTCTTCTCTTCATCTCGTTTCTCTATTTCTCGGGAAGATGGTGGTGAGGATGCTTCAGCAGTACTAGCCTTAACAGCGCAACAACTGGCTCAAAAACCTGCTTGTCGATTGTATCGAGCAACATTTTCAGCCTACTACTTTTTCTACTACGCTCCTCTTGGGCTGAGCCTGCAGTTATTAGACGTCGTCCACAAAAGGCGTCTTCGTTCAAAAATTTCCAGTTTTTTCATG